ACGTATTTTTTTGCTCAGTAACTTCTTACTAAGTAAATGTTACTGGGAAAGTAAACGAACGAACCTAAAATCTCTGTTTTCATAAAAAATGTCGTGCGTGTTCACGAATGTCTGTTTCTTAGACCAGTTTTACATTTAGCCTTTCACGCGAGTTAAACGCACGAGATTCTCTTTTGATCACCCTTCGAAACGCACGATGTGTTTACATTAATGGTTTTAACGCGCGTTTATAATTTGGAAGATTTGACATTTACTTATTTATTTCTCTTTGCAATTCATTCATAATAAGTATTTTTATAAACAAGGATGGATAACTTAGAAAAAGAAGAATTGATTGAGGAAATATTAGATTTAACAGAATTTGCTGTGGACCATTTAAATATGGATGATCAGGAAGATTTGGAAATTATCCTTACATTATTGGATTTCTATGAAGAAGCCGAAAACATGTCTAACAAAAGAAGAAGAGAATGGGTGAAACCATGGCGGAATGAGCGGGAAAATATGGGGTCGTTTCCTTTTCTTATGAAGGAACTCGGCAATGATGAATTGTCTTTCTATCAGTACATTCGGATGGACTGTGAAACTTTTAACTACATCCTACAGACTATAGAAAGCAGCATAAGAAAACAGGATACATTGTTAAGAAAATCTATATCTCCTGCAGAAAAATTAGCAATAACACTTCGATATCTTGCTACAGGAGTACCCATTTCCAAACAAGATTATCAGAATCTTTTCTTTCCGCTGCAGTCCCTGAAGTTTGTGAAGCTATTTGGAGTTGTTTCAAAGACAAATATTTAAAGGTTTATATTTTGGTTAAGTTTTGTGTTATAATATTTTTTTTATTAATTTATTTAAATTTAAAAATTGTATATAATATTAAAACTTAAAATAATTGTTGCTTTCATCATCAAACAATCCATCTATAGACAGTTGTAATATGTCTGGGGTTTTGGGCTGGAAGTAGTACTTGTGGAGTCTAATTCTTCTACATGTGAAGAGCATGCTGAATAGTCTTCTGAATTGGCGTCATCACTCTTCTCATACTCCATTATTCCTTCTTTTGCGCATCTTGGATTTTTCATATAGTCCTTTGCTGATTGATGCAGATTGCCGCTTTATATATAAACGTGGGATGTAATGGTCGCACACATGATGCAGGAGTGTTAATGCATAGTGATTTAAAACAAATTATTGACAATGGCGATAAATACTTTCCCATTGATGAAGTCATTGGAAATGGGAGAAAACTTTCATATGTAATAGTCGGAGATGATGCGTTTCCGCTCCACAAACATATAATGAAGCTATACCCATACCACACAAAAATCAAAGAAAGAACAATATATAATATTAGACTTTCACGGGCTAGACATGTAGTGGAACATGCATTTGGCATATTAAGTAACAGGTTTCTTTCAAAGAAAAATGAATCTAAGTGTTAAAAAAGTTCACTTAATTACCAAAAATTTGTTGCGTTTTGCATAATTTACTCAACAAAAGGGATGTAAATTACATAAATAAATTATCATATACTGCCATTGACGAATCATCTTCTACAAATATAAGTGATGGAAAAGAGTGGCCCGTACGGCGATCTGCTCAATTAGTAGGGCAAGGCTTCGAAGAATATTTTAATCAAGAAGGGCAGCTCCGTTTGCAATATTTAAAACTGTAACTGATTATATTATATTATATAATTATATTATTTTATGATTTTAACACAAATAATAAAATATAAAACATACAAATAAAACATAAAAATTTAAAGAAATATTTCCTTTCACATCTGTGCCTTGTCTTGCCTTATATTTTTTGAACAACGATAACTAACACAGAACATTTTTGGGCGATATGTCATTTATTTACGCTAATAATATATGCTTTTGGAGAGGGTATAGCCAGGTCTAACTCCTCTGTAGTTGTGGCCAGGTTCTCTGTCTAAACAAATTAAAAAACGTTCACCTTTTTGTTTGTTGATTAATATAATCCATAGTTATGCTTGTGGCCATCCACAAAAAAGTAAAATAATACGTTTTTTATATTTACATTACATTATTATCTGTTTTGTGAATGGCCACAAGCTTAACTAAAGGTTTGTATTTTTAAATACAATTACTTACTTGCGGAATATTTGACTCCCCATCCCGAACAGAGCAAAAAGACTTTAAAAATTGCAGCTGCGAATAACACCAAAGTTTTGGTTCATAAATATCATCGGCACCAGCACCACTCTTTTTGCTACAGGAAACTTTTTGGAGCTCCTTGACATATTGTGAGCGCAATGTGTGTATTTTCTTTTTTATACATTCCTCTGATATATTATTATCCACCTCCTTTAATTCCTTGCAGATTTCAAATAAGGCATTTGATCTTTTTACCCTATCTGCATAATGAGGGTGTGAAGTATTGTACAAAAATTCATATTGTTGATATTTCGTTATCAACAACTCCACTAACTCCTGGGTCCACATTAATTTATTAATTTTTTTTAAACCACACACCTAAGGAATTAAAATTATAATCACAATTATACAATTTTTTCTGAATAAATCAAAACTCACCTGTTCGCCCGCCATTGTCTGTAATTTGCCTGTTGAAAAACGAAAACATATGAAGCAACACATAAATAACATGAAACACAAGAAAGAGGAATGTCAAAAGTTCCCCCTCAAACTTTCGATCGAGCCTGCTGGTCTACCCCGCAAGCACCTTATATTCGCAAAGCGTGAGCACGCGCGTTAAAAAGCTTAATGTAATGTGCCTCTTACTTTTCAGCCACGCGCAGATTTCTAGACCGAATACATTAATTATTCTATTCTAGTTATTCATAAAAATATTTTTCAAATTGTGTTACAACACACAAAATACGTATTTATGCCCTCCACCTTGAAAAGGAGGGTATATTAATTTTGTCATTCCGTTTGTAACATTCCTTAAATATTCGTCGTAGACCCCATAAAGTATATATTCATAAGTAGAATTAACGATGTCCGCCCGTCTGTCTATTGAAATTACGATACAGCCCACATTATTTGACATAGATTTCAAAGTTTGGCAGAACAATTTGTATTGTGTTAAAGTTGGCATTTGTAGTTCGCAATGGGTTTTAGCTCCGATGGCGAAACATTGTATGTATAAGTCCACGTTTTTATATAGCCCCCATTAACCCCCCGATATTCGATATTTTGACATTTTTTTCACGGATTTATCCAAAATTGGTATTTCTGGTTCGCAATGGTTCGCTTCGGCGGCAGAACATTGAATATTAAGGTCTACGTTTTCCTATAGCGCACACTTGGTATTTAAGAAGATTTGGTATATGTTGAAGTATAAAATGAAAAGTTTAAATGTATTATCCAAACGGTCTTACGGGTATTTGTAGTTTAAAATGAATTCAGATATTTTACATAACAAGGGTATTAAAAGTTCAGCCCGGCCGAACTTAATGTGTTTTTACTTGTTCATATTAATTTCGACAACTTTAGTTTTTAGTAAGAAGAAACTATGCTTGCAAAATATTATCAATATAGGCCCACCTCTTGGTATAGCCCTCACATATAATATCCCCTGACCCAATTGTTTTCCAATCGATTTGATTAAAAATTTGCATTGAGGCTACTTTGGGGTTAGAAAACCACCTTACAGAAAAACGTTAACATAGGTCTATATTTTGCTATAGTCCCCATATAACGGTATCTCCTAGGTCCGCGCTTCCAACCGATATTGTATGGGGGTTGAGAAACTCTTTGTGGGGGTAATCGTATTGGGTAATAACAGCAAATACCTAAAAGGTTTTGAATTTTCATGATAATTTTTTAAATTTATGATATGGTCCCCATATACATGTCCCCCCCGAATTAAGCTGCTATCAGGCGATATGGGTTTTACATATTTGCTGTATCCCAAAACTGTCATTTTACGTATGACTCATAATTCTTACCATCACGCACTCACTTATGTTTTTATACCCTCGCTATACTATGGAGGGTATATTAACTTTGTAATCAAGTCAGACCCAACAAAGTATACATATTCTTGATCAGTGTAAAACTCTTAGTCGACTTAGCGATGTCCATCTATCTGCGAATTAAGATAGAAGGAAAAAATTTGCACACGTGTGTATTTTGCCAGTGGTTAGGCTAATTTTGAATATGGATGATGTTGACCAACGTCTTCTCATAGTCCCTTTATTCACCAATTATGACAGAAAAGGGTATTAAAAATTCAGCCCGCCTGAACTTTGCTTCTTATTTACTTGTATGTTTTTAATTCCATTTTACGGCATGTTTACGTTACAGCTCTTTTCTAAGCTAACTTCCAATATAATGATTTATTTTATGTACATGTAATGGAATTGGCAATTTAAATCCACTGGGTTTAAACACTGGGAAACTGTAAACGTACTATTGCACTTCAAGAATAAAATAATAAAAAATGCCATAATTGCGAAATAAAATTTTTTATTGTATGTTCGTATATTTCGTGTTTTCAACATAAAAAAAGGAATTTACAAGAATGTTAAACTTTTCATGAGAAAATATTTGTATTATACATAAATGAAAGTTCTACAGAGAAAGGCAATTGTAGAATAAAAATGGCTATACTGGGGAACATTGATATGTCAAACATTCTTTTTAGTAAAAATTACTCAACAAATTTTGCAAAGAGTTGTCGAACAACATTCAGTAATTTTTAAATTTTTCATAGTAAAAAAAAAAATAATTAAAACATGTAAATTATTGCCTGACATTGGATACATTGCAGCTGTTTTTTTCTCAATCAGCTGATGTTACTGGATAAATTGTACTGACTAAAATTTTGCCAGTAAGATTTTGTAAACTCTCAGCAATTTAACTTTTGAAACTTCACTTCACTCTCTCATTAACTGAACTTTTGGGTTATCAAACAAAAACTGTGTATGTGTTTTGACATTCCTGGGCTGCCATACGAAAAACTTTTATCTGGTGATTTCGGTCAATACAAACAAATAAAAATATGAATTTGTAGCTCTGCTATATGTTTTTATTGTAGATTATGTAAATAAAAGAATAACAGAGTTTTTAAATATATTTAATAATGCAATATGGCTTTAAGCAGTAACATTTTTGGTGTGTAATAATAGTGGAACATTTAGCATATTTTATTCTTTTTTACCAGATTATTATTTTCCGTAAAACATATTACATGTATGCAGTAAACTAATCTATAGCCAGTGAACATTTTTCGTCATCCGTGTGTCCAATGCACTCTATTGCTGGTCTATGTTCTGAATCCCACATTCCTGGGCCACAACGTTTACACAGTCCTGCGAGCGTGCAAGGAATTTTTGGTAATTGTCGATATTGGTGTAACATTCCTCGTGCTTTCCTCAATATTAATTGACCATCCATATACATTGCAAGAGAACTAAAGTGCAGTAGCATTTCGTCAGCTCTTAAGTTTTGAGCAATGACGTCATCCGCATAAACAGCTATAATTGCCAAACAAAGGAAAAGATGGAAGTAATCCGTTAAGTAATTTGACCAGCATGCTTCCCACATGCGTATGACCACAGCTTCAGTAAATTCTCTTTTAAAGCATAACAAAAGCCAGCGGTGACAGAATAATAATTCCATTGCATCACTATGTAATTGAAGGTGGGCAAAAAAACGTGGTAGCATAATACGAATAAGTTCACGTAGAAATTTTAAATTACGATCAATGTCATTATCAGTAGGGGTGCACACGAAATGAGCTCTTTGCATTAAACCCACAAAACACCAAAATGACTCCGATTCATTTTGTATTTCACACAACAATGGAGCCAGTAGATCACTCATTCCTTGAAAATAGGACATACCAGTGTTATAGAATGCATAATTTAATAAAATGTTTTTCATAATTTCAGTATTGGGATTGTTTTCACCACAAAAGAACGGATTTAAACGGTCGGTGCGTATTATATCTTTCTCAACCACACATTGAACTGATTTCCAAAAATGAATTTGCTCTTCGGGTGACATAGAATATGTTCGCCTCCTTGTAAGGTCCTCATATTCCTGTTTTCTTATATCCATAAAGACAGCACGATCCTCAAAAGTTGATGAGAGAGAATAGCACCTCAAAAGAAATGGCCACACTGTTTTTCGCAGGCTTTTCTCAAGACCTCCGAAAAAAACACATTTTCGTAACATCAAATCGTCGTCTATTTGTCCTTTTTCATTAAGCAATGTACCATAAAAATAATTTGTTGTAATTTTTTGAACAGTGCCTTCGTCTGGATGCATTTCAGATTTTTTTACTTCTGGTCGACATACCATAAATTGGCGGTATTGAGTTTGTTGTTTATCATAGCTTGCAGCGTTTGAAATATTGTGAAGAAAGCAATGCCATTGATGCAGAACCTGAAAAGAGAAAATAAAGAGTTTTAAAAAAATAGATATGGGAGAAATATTATTTGAAAAAGGTTGATATGTGTTATTGTTGCTGTAGCAGTAGTACATGCAAGTGTTTGCGTTCTGCTAATCTGCTTCCAGCTCCAGGTTTAGCAATTCGGCTACTTTAATGGGCTGTAGCCAGAGATCTTCTGGAGTGAGTTGGGTAGGTTTGGCTGTGCAATTAAAGAGGTGCAGCGTATTGTGCGGGCCTGTATCGCACGCCGGGCAGACGTAACGCACATCTTCATCAATTCGTGCCCAAAACGAATTGAGACGACTACACCATCCTGAACGTAATTGCGCCAAAACTACCCTGTTTTGTCTAGGTAGCTGACGTTCTTCAGCTGCAATGCATGGGGGTGGAATCCGAGGACGGCATTCATTTTATAATTGCTAATAGCATCTGCGACTGCTTCGGTATGAATGCCACTCAGACCTGTCTGATAGGCTTCTTGATCTAGAGGTTCTCTCTTGTAGCGCTGGACCTCCCTCTCTAGATCATGTATGTCCTTCTTTACACGCCTGGGTGGGGGAGATTTATCCACCATATGATGGTTGGGATGACTCTCACGGTAACACCCAAGCAGGTACTGCAACGAAAGCATATTATGCTGACGTAAGGGAAAGACTTTCGCATCCTCATGTAGATGGTCAACTGTCTGCACCCTGTCGCAGTTCTCAGGGCAGCGTTCTGGTAGGTCTGGATATGCTTCCACTGCGTAGCACTACTATTCGCAGACCACACTGGAGCCGCATAGCTGACCACAGACCGACCTACCGTGTTATAAGAGGTCAACAAGGTTTCTTTCTCCGCACCCCAAGTGCTGCAGGCTAGCGCCTTGAGGACCTTGTTCCTACTTTTCATCTTGTCGCAGATAGCTGTGGCTTGCGCGGACGACTTGAACATGCTGTCGAACGTGACCCCAAGAATCTTGGGGTAGTTCGTGGTCGGTATTAGATTCCCCTCGACCTGCACATTCAGCTGTATTCTCATCTCCGCAGACCATGTCGTAAATAGTGTGGCCGTTGATTTCATGGCGGATGTTTTCATATTCCTCCCGTGGAAGTTTGTGGCAAGTTCCGCGAGAAAGGGGTTCAGCCTTTCGCATATGTCATCGACCTCTGGGCCCGACGCCGTGATCGTAAAATCATCCGCATACGTTACGATCTCAATGCGGTCTGTAGGGCGAGGAATTCTGGAAATGTAGAGGTTACACAGTTCAGGAGATATCACCCCACCTTGGGGAACTCCCTGTTTCACTCTACAGGCTTTGGACTTCTTGTTCCCGAATTCCACGTATGACTGGCGCCACACATATAGTTGATTATCCAACGTTTCAAACTTGGCCGGAGGGTAGTTCTCTGTACGTCCTCAAACAGTGTGGCATGATTGACCGTATCAAATGCCTTTGATAGGTCAAGGGCTACCAACACTGTTCTGTCACACGGCCTTTTCTGGTTCAGTCCTCTACTAATATGTGTGGAAATGGCGTGTAGTGCTGTTGTGGACGGAATCCGTGCTGGTGGTTGGCAACTCTATAGCTTCCTCTAATGCTGGGGAGGAGTAAAGCCTCCAGAGTCTTGGCTACTGGCGACAAAAGCGAAATCGGCCTGTAGTATTCGTGTTTTCTGGCATCCTTACCTGGCTTCAGTAGCGGGACCACCCGGCGCATTTTCCAGGTTTCGTGCACTCTGTGGGTGGCTAGCGACAAATTGAGAACTTTCGTTAAGTACTCGACTCCCGGCGTATCCAGCTGTTTCAACATTACCATTGAGATTCCGTCCGGGCCCATCGCTTTGGATGACTTAGCGTTACGGATGACATTTGCAACATCACCCATCGTAAACTGTGGTGGTTCCTCCTCGGCGGGAAGAGATCTGATACCACGTAGTACTCTTTGCTACGCCCTATCGCTCTCGGGGTGCTCGACAAATTTTCGGTTAAAATGCTCTGCGCACCTCTTCGGACCAGTCACCGTTACGTCGTTAAAAGTGACTGATGTCCTATCCAGGGTTCCAGAGCGACTCAACCGTTACCCACAGCTTACTCATATCGGTTCCAATGTTGCAACACTTCAGATGGTCTAGCCACTTTGTCCTCTTATGCTCCTGTACCAACCGGTTAACTTCCACTCTCAAATCACTGATTCTAGGATCGGTAGGGTTTGTACGACGGAGATAATCACGCTCGTTTGCTAATCCCGCTTCCTCTGCTGGAAAGCTTGGTCTTATCTCGGGTATTCGACCAGCAGGTATATAGCGAGTGGCTGCTGTTTGAAGATGGATGGTGGATCCCCTCCTGTCATTACCTAGGACGGAATGCCACAACTCATGGTGGGTATTAAAATCCCCTAGTACCAGGCTGTTATTGCCTACCAATAATGGGCTAATATCAGGCAAATAACGCGGTTCACAGCTATTAATCGGCGGGATATACACATTAAGTTCCACAGTTCCACACTTGACTGCTACCCCCATACATTCCATGTACGGGTCACTAGAGACTAGCTTAAGCGAGATAGATCTGTACTGAACAGAATGTTGTAACAGGAATGCTAATCCCCACCTCCACTTCTGGTGCGATCCTTCCTTAGTACGTTGTAACCATAACAACGTTGTAGGCTGCAATTTTCATTCAGCTTGGTTTCCTGCACCGCTGCGATCGTAATATTCCTCCGACTCATAAATTCCACTATCTCATCTATTTTCCCTCGGAGTCCGTTGCAATTGAATTTCAAGAATGATGCACAGTCCGGAGTTGGAACAGCAACGTGTGGCGTTAGGTGCTGCGGTGTTGGTTGCTGTTCTGGAGGCTGCGGTGGAGTTCCATACTCCGACGACGTCTCTGTTGAGGACGACGAAGAAGTGAACTCGCTGGGGACTACGTTACTGCAGCAAGTCGCAACATAATCCCTTTCGCTGTAGGCTCGCAAATTCTCTACATTCTCTACATCCATTAAAGCCACCGAAAGAGATCTGTGGTGGATGACGTTCTGACAAACCGAGCAGAACAAAGGTCCAGGGTTTTCCTCAATCCCGTCACGGACCAATAAAATCCGGAGCAAGCATTCCGGGATATGCTGCTCCAAATGCAGAAAAATAAACAAACACACACATGTACATACTGGGTTGGCAGCCGCTGGCCAAAACTAGGATCTTCTTGTTTCTGGTCAATCCGCTATCGTAGAACCCGCTGCCATGGGATTGTTGATATGGGTCAAAGTTGGTAGCTTTTATAAAAATAACATTTATTTATTAGTAGAGCGATAACGTACCAGGCGGTAAAGCAGGGAAAGAGCCACCAATTTTCATCAGTCCCTTGGTTTTTGTCTGGGGATATTTCCCCCAGGAGATATTTTAAAATAACTCCTATCTCAAAAATTGTTTTACCCAAGTAACGAGATCGTAAGCTCAGGTTGGGAATAGTATAAAGCCCAGTAGTTATACTGAGTTGCTCTAAGCTAAATAAGCAGTCGCGGACAGTCAACGGGTCTGGGGGAGAGTCTCGGCTTAAATACTAGAGTGCCAATGAACCTTAGACTGACGAGGCGATATTTCGGCGCCCCTAAAATAGCCAAACCTCAGTGATGATCCCCACATATCTTTCCGTGCTGCAGGTTTGTAGTAAAGGAACCGACTGTATTCTAACTGTTGGTAAAATAGCCAAACCTCAGTGATGATTCCCACATATCCTTCCATGTTGCAGGTTTGTAGTAAAGGAGCCGACTGGGCCCCTCAGCCAATGTCAGGTTTAGTTGTCGAGTCCTTGCCATGGAAACGAATTTTTTCCATAGCTAATACATTTCTAATTTATCCAACATTATGGAGTTTATTATTCTGTTCATTGCTCATCGGATGGTATAGTGTATATTATATCAGTCGGTTTTAATGAGTCTGATATGCTTTTGTAAAGTTAAAGCTATTCGTTATTTAACTGATTGTTCTTGCTTATAGCATTGGACAATTCTTTTATTTTTTTTTTTTTGTTACATTCTTAAATCTATCATTTAATATATGGTTAGTAACGGCCTGTATTTTTATTATGATTTGTTTCATTTATATTAAATTTGAGCATTTCTAAGTCTGTCTCTTATAGCTACCTTTTCATTACGAACATTCATATTTTCATAGTTATTATTCATATTGCTATACGATTATTTTGAAAACCTTGAGGAAAACTATTTTAATCAAGGAATGGAATTACTAGAAAAGCGTTGGACTAAGTGTATTGAAGTTTTGGAAGAGTATATTGAAAAATAGGCTAAGATTATATTTTATCGATAGGCTAAGAAGTTTCCGAACCGCCCTCGTATGAACAGGCTAGTTACTAGGTACTATTTCATTTTTATCTTGGGATAGGTTCATTTCCACGACAACTAATTATTTCTTGAGTAAGTTTCATTTTTCTTGTTATGATAACTGTGATTGGAAACTTGCTTCTTTTGTATCTTATGCATCTATAGCTAATATCAATTGGTTTTCTATTTCTTGTCGAACGAACTGGCACATTATATTCCTTAACTGCCCTCACTAACAACTCCTTAAGCGTACGTGAGCTTTCTCGGCTTTGATACATCTCTTGAAGTATCAAGTGGAAACGTTCCACTTGTCCATTAGAACCTTTTATGTGAGGTGGCGTACGATACACTCGAATGCCGAATTCGTACCCTATAATATGAATAACGGAAACTGAATTAAAAATTGTTTCATTATCAAAAATTATCGGGAATAGGCAAAAAGAGAGTGCCTATCAAAGGTTGTTTAATATCTTTCGGCATCTCTTGATTTTACTACCCTCGCTACGGCAAATTAAGAAAAGAACAGATTGTTTACCCTTGATAAAGATATCAAGGTGAACAATTTGCAATTCTCCGACTTAGCAGGAAGGCGATCATATTTATTATTATTTATTTATTTTTTTTTTTTTTGCAGACCTCACAATTCCTTGCTACTATAGCTATTTTTTT